ACATCATCCAGGTATCTGAAAATGTAAAGAGTATCGTGGTGAAATTCTCAGTTAGTGTCACAGTAGGCTTCTGAAAGTAAGTTACCTTTTACACAAAACAAAACAAAAGAAATAAATGGAGAAGACTCCAAATATTTAATGTAAACACTCCTACCCCCACTCGTCTCTCTTCACATCCTCTCCGTACCCGAAAACAGACAAATTGAACCTTTATCTGTACTTTTTCGAGCAAGGTGATGCCCAGATCGTCAGAGAAATTATATGGAATCTGCGTCTCGAATTTTATGTTATCTGTCTAGCGATATCCAAATCCAGACTCTCAGCTTAAAATGTATGTACCTAGCTTTTAAAAATAAATAAAAAAATCATTAAATCTGGCGTACATCATATGGTCATCATCCAAACTTCTTTCGTCATCGTTGTACCCAGTCTTTCAAGCTGGCCCATCCTGCAATACGATGCCCTTGATATGTATGTAAAGAAAAGAATACTGATGCTAAGATTTATTTAATACATTGCCAGCCCAGAAATGGTACTCAGAGATAAAGCTGACAAGAATATGTGAACATAGGCAAATAGTTTACCGATTAATCCGAAAATAATAATTCGATTAAGTCAGGGTTGTCAAAAAGGACGGAATTATGTGCACTGATCTCGCTTTAGTACGTTTTGAGCCATGTTGTTATTCCAGGTAAACAACTTTTAAGCACGTAAATATAAACTTCGGTTTCGACGTAGTGGAGCAAACCGTTTTCAATTCGTAATTGCATCAAACGGTGAGAATATTAAAAAATAAAGAAAAAAAAACTTCTTTAAACAACACTGCACAGAGAAGACTAAATGTAAGGAAACTATGGCGAGTTACCTCGACACTGCGGACGGTTTGCTCGAAAGTGTTCATCTCCTCTACCAATAGCTACATTAACCACTTGTTCACTGCCCTTTCAGTGCACGGTAAGGCAAAGGCCTCCTTTTCGTCGTTTAATACACATATTTTCCAAGCGGAAACTAGTTTCTTGAAGATTATTGATGAAGAATGAACACAACTTTACTTTTCCTTCACTTGGAAGTTGCCGCGTGCAAAGGTGAAAATGAAATATGAATAGTAATGAGTGAACGTAATTTGAATTTCAAAAAGTTTCACCAAGCAGTAAATTTGCGGGAAGACTGGAGCGGTTTTTGGCTGCTTATAATTCCCAAGCTTTTTGTGCCTACAGTCATAAACTCTGCATGATTCAGAGGAATGCGCCTGGATAGCTGCTAGGCTTATTTTCAGTTTGGGCGAATGGTAGGGTGAGGTTGTTTTCAAGCCCATTGATTGTCTGGTCGATAATTACTAATGATATCAAAAAAAATAAGTGTTGACACCACAAGACTCAAGGATAATTCGTGAAAGAGATCCACATGTTTTACATATACATCATGTAGTGCTTATTTCATATCAGGAAAAAGAAACGTTAACTTATGGAGATCATGAGTGTTAAGCTAACTTTTGTCCTTTACTTGTAACCAAGTGAAGTGAATAAAATTGCTTCTCAACTTGAAGAGGTCCTTCAAGGTGTTCTAGCTATATAATTCAGTTATAGTTTTTCAATCGTGTTTGTATGTCTAAAGTAAATCTGCCAATATTAACATTAAAAAATAAATCTGTGTCAAGGTCTAATTTAGATTTCGTTCGACTGTCTTCAATGTTTACCTGACAAAAAATGAGTTGACAAATGCTGCAATTGAGTTTGTTTCTTTAGACATGGAGAATTCCTTCTAAAATCTAAGCAAAGTAAATAGGAATGACATTTGTGACACTAAACAGTAACGAACGGTACAGTACATTCGTTTAGATAATCGCGAGATTATTGTAGTTTCTTAAACTCTCTATGAAAATTTCAGTTACTAAACAAAATAAAATAGTTCAGGTTTTAAACCTATAGCCATGCAACTAAGTGGGAGTCAGTATACAACAACTTGTTTCTCCCTCTGGACCAGGCCTGTGCCTGAATCACGTGGCCTCCACTTGAGGATTATGTGACAGATAATATGAGTGTCAAATAGACCAATTTCGGTATAGTAAAATTCAGCCTAAACGATGGACCTCAGTACGAGGCTCCGGGGAATTACTATGGAGTTTGTGGGGTTTGTTTCCCAGAGCCTCGTGCTGAGGTCTACCTGAATTTTAATACATAGAAATTGGTCTATTGTGAATGATTCTTATTTACAGACTTTTAAATAGAAAAGCCAGTGTTATGGTTTCGGTCTGAGAACAGACTAAACAGCGCGAATAGTATATATATTAAACTAAAAAGATTAAAAGAATATTATTTCTTACCCAAAAAAAAGTTATTTTAGATGAATTTGAAACGAATAGCAATGGCTTAAGCCTTTTGTCAGTTGTCAGTAAATCTAACTAGAAATGTCAGTCGTCAGTTAACTTTTAGGATATTTACTAACTGTCAGTTAATTTTTTGTTGTTGTCATTTGTGAGTTGCCAGTTAACCCCAACCAAACCCTTTTGTATAGGTCATAAGGAAAACAGACTGTGTGGTATTTGGCGCGATATCATAGCTAAAGGATCGTTTCATTATAAGTTAGCAGTTCACGAAGACAAAACGCAATTTTATTAAAAACAATTACTATTTTTATCCTTATTTACTGGACCAGGTGCTTTACGTACGTAATGTAGTAACCTGTCCGGCTTCGTAAAAGAGAAATAAAACCCTCCCGCTAATTTTTAATGTTTTGACATTTTGTTTTTTGTTACAACACCAAGATAAATCCCATGGCTTTGATGTGTGTGTGTTCGTAACCATGAGAAGTCTCATTTCCACAAGTATTGGAGTCATCTTGTTTCCCGCCCGTACCAAACCCAATCCTAGAGTCACAGGTTCTACAGTGGTTTTCATTATTACCAAGAATGCCTATTCTTGCTTTAGGACGGTAAATCTCTCCAGAACCTACGACATTGAATCCTTCCTGGTTGCAGCTGGATTGTAAAGAACCCTGTGAACCAATCAGCGACTTCCACGTATCACGACCCAGCGAGGTAGGGCGGTAATTTCCGTCTGCGATTAGTGAATACAGAGAACTGGCTTGTTTGTCGATGACAGTGTACTTCATCTTGTTGTTGTTCCTCGTACCAAGGCATACCTTGGAGAAGGGAGTGTTCCAGTAGGTCGGTAACTTGGTCTCTTTTGTATTAAACCCTAACTTCCCTTCATCAAGGTTGAAAGAATTTTTGTTGCTCCATAGATCAGAATCAAAGTGAAAGTTTCTCTGTATTTTAGTAAACATATCTAATTAGACATTTGTGTCCGTGAGGTTGCATTAAATGCAGTGAAACCCTACATAAAAGAACCGGCCAAGGTTTTTTTTTTAAGTTAGCCTCCATAGGTTCTTATATAAATGGTGTTTACACTGAAATTAGGCTACCTAGGTTCTTAATCAGGTCCCTAATTTTTAGTGCCCTGTTTTACAAGGTTAACTGATACACTCAGTTGGATGTGATGCACAGCTATGCATGTATTGACAGTACAGCATTGTGGCCTTATAACACTGCCAGTGTTCTGGCTAGGTTTTGTTACCTTTTTTGTATGCGCTGTATTATATTAGAAAAAATATATATTGAAAATAATAACCTGTATTGAGGTTTTAGGCTACTATGGATCTCATGTGAAGATTTTAGCTTAACGGGTTCTTAGATTAAAGATTCTTATACGCGGGTGTTTACTGTGTCCCTAACACTCTTGCTGTGTTTGGCGGGCTCCTAAAGCAAGTCACAGTAAAACGATATGTTAAATAAACAGTGTTTACAGTGACTGTCTAAAAGCTCCTAGGTGGAAGTCTACACATCTATATAACGTAAGAGTGTAATAGCAAGAGTTAGAGTAAGACTTGAAATAGAGAATAGTAAAATAGAACTGGGAAATACCTGTGAGCCATTCATCTTCATAACCAGCGTCCATCCACTTCCCCGACATGCACCAAGGTTGTTCATGCGACAAAACACAGGAATCTTCTCGGAACCTATCTCAAGTAAGTAGGCTTTGTTCTGTCTGGACCTAGCAAGATAAGTTAATCTTAGCAACGCATGTCAACGATGGTACCCGTACAGTCTTTGTAAATTTGGACATTAGTTACCACATCTCAGATTCCCTAGCACATGTGCTTATTAAGCTGTTCAGCCCCGTGTTATCTGGACAAGGGTGAGGGAACAGGAAAATATATATATATCCTCGTCAGCTGATGACTCGAAATAACTTTGAAATGACGCCTAAAACTGCCAAAAACGCAAAATGACCTTTTAGTAGACGTGAAATAACTTTTCAAAAACGTGAAGCAATCTTGAAACGGCCGGGAAATAAAGGAACCTGGTCAGAAAGCTGATATAACATTGAAACAGGAGGCAACATGAACTTGCCAAAAACACGATTGATCCGGCAAGTTCTTGGGAAGAATTTTTATAGAATATCTGGAGGGCTAATTGAGACTTATGTAAATTGTCAATACAGTCGAACCTCCAGTAAGCGCTTACGGGAGGTGGTCTTTTACAAGAGCTTATAGACCATGTTGGGTCAAACTTTTGCCTCATTAGCAAATGGTAGCTGCAGAGACCCCATGCGCCAATGCCATCCTAAATCCATATAATAACTTTTAGTTGTCGAAAGATTTAAAAGTCAATTCCGAGAAAAAATTTGTACTTCCCATTGAGAAATTTCTACCCAGGATTGCGTTAATGTTACAACAAGTTATTATCCAATATCCGCTCTACTATCTGTCAAGTGGTCGCTCACGGGAGGTTAAAAACAAAAGAAAATTTCAAACTTTAAGCTTCAAAAGTGGTCGCAGTCGCTTTCGAGAGGTGGAGAGGTTCCAAGTATAGTGATTTAATTTGGAAACTTTTGATATTTTGGAAAACTGGTCGCTGAGGGGAGGTTGTTACTTACGAGAGGTGGTCGCAACCGGAGGTTCGATTGTACACAATCTGTGGGGCTGCGTCTTATCTACATGCCCAGCCTCATCTTGAAATGAATTTGCGGTGGTGAATGATGAATTGCTGTATTGTCCTTTTTCAAACTTCAGTTACATATTTTGTTATTTTACTATTTTAATTTTAATTAAAATTTCAAAAGAAGCATTAAAATACTTCTTTTAAAATTTTAATTTCCCAAAGTTTGTTAGTCTTACAGTTTTGGTTCTTACTATCTATAATTAGTAGAATTCTACTAGTATACTAATGCAACTGCTGTAATCTGATTGGCCGAGCCGTTAAACACTATCAGCCATTAGTCTGCAGTGGTTGGAGGTCGTCTAGGAAATGACGACGTTTTTTCCGTTTTTCCGAAGTTTGGAGAAAACTTTTGATGCAAATGGATAATTAAATTCCTGAGAAGTCTAAACGAAGGACATTTACGGTTTCTTGACTTTTAAAAGAGTTGAAATTATTGAAAAAACTGATGCACACGCACACAACTTCAATTTTAAATGACAATTCAATCCAAGCAATTTTTTTCAGGCGCAAAACTTAACAACACGTCAAGAANATCTGTCAAGTGGTCGCTCACGGGAGGTTAAAAACAAAAGAAAATTTCAAACTTTAAGCTTCAAAAGTGGTCGCAGTCGCTTTCGAGAGGTGGAGAGGTTCCAAGTATAGTGATTTAATTCGGAAACTTTTGGTATTTTGGAAAACTGGTCGCTGAGGGGAGGTTGTCACTTACGAGAGGTGGTCGCAACCGGAGGTTCGATTGTACACAATTTGTGGGGCTGCGTCTTATCTACATGTCCAGCCTCATCTTGAAATGAATTTGCGGTGGTGAATGATGAATTGCTGTATTGTCCTTTTTCAAACTTCAGTTACATATTTTGTTATTTTACTATTTTAATTTTAATTAAAATTTTAAAAGAAGCATTAAAATACTTCTTTTAAAATTTTAATTTCCCAAAGTTTATTAGTCTTACAGTTTTGTTTCTTACTATCTATAATTAGTAGAATTCTACTAGTATACTAATGCAATTGCTGTAATCTGATTGGCTGAGCCATTAAACACTATCAGCCATTAGTGTGCAGTGGTTGGAGGTCGTCTAGGAAATGACGACGTTTTGTTTCGTTCTTCCAAAGTTTTGGAGAAAACTTTTGATGCAAATGGATAATTAAATTCCTGAGAAGTCTAAACGAAGGACGTTTACGGTTTCTTGACTTTTAAAAGAGTTGAAATTATTGAAAAAACTGATGCGCACGCACACAACTTCAATTTTAAATGACAATTCAATCCAAGCGAATTTTTTTCAGGCGCAAAACTTAACAACACGTCAAGAAATAATTGGAAACCGTTATTTGAAGTAAATTTTAATAAGAATTCTGCTAAAACAATTAGCCTTCGGCCTCCTCAACTATCACCTCACAGAAATCTCGAGCTCATAATCTAATTGTTACAGTCAAACCAAGTGAAGCGTTCCCCTCAAGATTACATTAATGAATTGATTATTCGAATATTCAACCCGCTAGTTGTTTCAAGAATGAAATAATAAATTGATTATTGNAAAAAAGTCTTGAAATGACATTCATTTCATGCAGCTATAGAAGCCGATACGTCGTTAGGCAAACATTGAACAGATTTCTTGCTCGGCCTTTTTACCAGGTGAGGACCAAATCGGGTCACCTCACATGAAGCTTTTCTGACAGAGAACAACTGGGGCTCTACTCTCGTCTCCGAGACTGCAGGGCCTGTCATTCCACTTTCCTTGTTTGTACGAGGTCGCAATCATGTGGACACATTTCTCATTAACACTGTTCGGTTCTCCATTTGCCCACGCAGAATACTGACCAGCTAGTGGAGTGTCATCGATCCAGTAGAAAATATTTTCAGCCGACGGTTTTCTGTAAAGACCAAGCCATGCACCCCAAAATGTTTTCGTTTGTTGCTTCTTTAACAGTTCAAGAATAAAGTTATTCTCATCTTCTGATCTAACTATGGCGAGGTCTCCTCCCAGATTCTGGCAAGTCATTTGAGCGTCACTCCATTTGTCGGTCGGAGTATCGATTAAGTAATAACATGAAGTTCCATGAAGGACCCAATCTTTTGGACAACCTAATCGGGTTAAACACAAGGAGCATGTATATATATATATATATATATATATATATATATATATATATATATATAT